CCGAACGGCTCGTGCACTTGCGAGTATCACAAGTTGAGGATGCAGTTGAACCCATTTTGGTGCAGTTGTATCTACACAACAGTGCCCACGCTGCCCTGCCGATAGACAGTTAGACTGAACCCACCCCCCTTGATCGGCACTCTTCGCCCTCGCCACACTGTACAGCTGGGCCCACTGTTCGTAGCTCAGCTCCCCCTTGCCAGCCAAGCCGAACGCCGTTATCGTCCCAAGCAACGTAATCCAAAAGTTTGGATTATACTGCCCCAGCGCATACCCAATCGCCGCCAAAATCTTCTGCACCGAATGCCTCAACGGCAGCCGAAGCCCATGCTTGAAGACATCGGTGAAGAAGACCACGCCCTTGTCATTATCACTCAATGACTCCAACGGCGCTGGAATTCGCATCCCTACCGAATCAGGGATATTGTACTCCGCCCGAATCTTAGCAAGCTCAGATTCGGTCAGTGTGTTCGGCTCTAAGTGATCTACTCCGAACACCAGTTCCTTCGGCTTCGCCATCGGGATCCGTTGCTTGCCACTGAGTACCTTCAGCACCCCCTCCCCTGGCGCAGCAACGGACACGCCACCCGCCTCGGCCTCACGACCCGAAGTCGAAGGCTCACTACCTTGGGGCAATCCACGCGAAGTGCCACCAGCTACAGTGCGCACTCCTGCCCCCTCCATTATTTCACAGCTCGAAGAGCTAGCAGATTCGGCACTCCCACTCTCTTCTGCAGAACTCCCCGAGGACGAATCGTCCTCGAATGCCCTCGGACTACGACTACGCTCGGATTCGGTATCTGACATCTACAAACAACACACGAAGGGAAACTAAGGGCCATGCTAGAATCAACAGTCCTATTCTACCTCCTAAACACTTATGTTCATGCTTGTTCATGCTTGTTCATACTCGTTCATACTTTGTTCATACAAAATTCAACGATATCAACACTTTGATTCATAAAAAATCAAAAACACGGCAACATACCTTGTTTGCACGGTGGTTCAAGTACGCCAGAAATCGCCTCCGCCTTGTTCAACCTCGCCGGAAATCGCCTGCTCAGCCTTCACAACGGTTGCCAGAAATCGCCTCTCACAGGCTCTGATGGCTCTCAAAATCTTCAAGTATTCCAACTATCGTCCCTTCCTTACATTTATAGGACGAACCTAGCATCGGAAAGCGAAGCGACGCATCGGGATATGAAACGACGCGACTCTTCACAGCCATGCCGACACTTGTCACGCATGCATGGGGGAGCCTAAGCGTTGTCATTCGAAACGTTTCCAATCCTCAGAGACGCTTCAACTTCCCGTACGTTGCAGCTCTCACCACCTTCCAGCACAACTCCATTAGCAAATGGCAGGCGCACATTGATGAGTTCTCACTCACCTCTTGTGCCGAACGGCAGGCGCACATTGATGAGTTTCACTCACCTCTCGTGCCGAACGGTAGGCGCACATTTATGAGTTTTCACTCACCTCTCGTGCCGAACGGCAGGTGTTCCTAAAACAAGACTTCCACCCCTCTCGGAACAATCGGTACATCATGCCGTCTCTTTTTCAAGCTCACTCGCTTGGGCACTTGGGGGACTACATGCCACCATCGGCAACAATGAGACCATCGAGTCCGGATCAAAATGCCGAAGACAGATTCAAGTCCCCAACCGAGAAGCTTCTCAATCGGTAACTTGGGGGACTACTGTTTGTACCATATCTGATCCTCCACTCATCAATTGACACGTGGATCACTTAAACTCCCCAAGTGCCCAAGGCTCCGAACAATCAGCATCGGCTACC